AACATTCTTAAAAAAAAAAAAAATAAATCAGCAGGTGGTGTACTGAACGAAACGAAGGTAGCTGAAGACGTCAACGTGGAAATCAAAGAAAAGGAACCGCCTCGACTCTACAAGTGGAACAAAAATAAAAGTATATACATATAACATCCTCCTGAGATCGCAGAGCTTTGCATGTGGATACAAACAGACCAGCTCAAGACCTGGTTTGGTGGATTAATCTGTACCAGAAGCTGATGATCGTACATCTGGACCCTGATCAAAACTGGTCCCTTCAGACCAGGGTTTGTTTTCCACGGTTAACACACACACACATTCTCTATGGCAACTCTGATAACACTGTCAGATAATAATGAACAGGTCACAGCATTGACAGCTTTGGTGAATCCATCACTTTTATATTGCTCTGATATTGTATTTACAGACACAATCACACACACACAAACAAACAAACGCTCACGAAACACTGACAACAGTTTGTGCGGGTAAAACAGATCACATTTGCACCAAAAAAGCAAGCTGAGTCACGCAGAGCGGTGCCAAAAACACGTCCTCCTGTCCATGAACTGGAAAAGTGTGTGTGACTGTCCAGCTTCTGTCACATCCAGCAGTTAAACTCCTCTTTCATTGAGTCCTTGGCTCTCAGTGTCCGCTGGTGTCTGGCGTGGAGGAGGACGCTGGTGTGGATGCTCTGGAGGTTTTCTCCAGGCCTGGACTCGGGACCGGGCCGCTCTCCGGAGCTTTGGCCAGGACGCGTGGCATGGATTTGGGCTGCGCCTGGAGCCCCGGGCTGCAGATGAGATGGTGTCGCTCCCAGTCCTTGTGCTGACAGAAGGAGCCGCAGTAACGCGCCGCATTACAGCCGCTGCACGTCTCGCTCGCCTTCCGACCGCAGTTCCAGCAGCACTGAGAACCAGAGAGAACATTGCAGCTTACAGCATTAGAAATATATAAACATTACACGTTTAAACATAATATTAAACAAATGCGTCTAGAAATATCTTTAATCAGCAAAGACACATTAAACGTGACATTAAAACTGACCTATAAATATATGTGTGTGTGTGTATAAATATTTGAAATGAAAATGATTGAAATAATTTAATGAATATAAAATTAATATGTGACCCTGGACCAGTCATAAGGGTCAATTTTTTGAAATTGAGATTTATACATCATCTGAAAGCTGAATAAATA